ATTTGGTTTTCAGGGGGACTGTTGGGTCTTGGCAGAGGTATGTGCTCTGAAGCCATTCTAATATTGAATATCTGTTAGGAGGTAGGCCTGAGGAGACTGGCTGTTTGAATTCCTTTTACAAAGGAAAATGAAATCTTACTTTATCCTTCAGGATACGTTCATAATGTCCACTTTAATTTTAATCACAGAGCTTTCATTAACTTTAGAAGCAGAAACCCCCTCATAACAAACCAAAGGTGCAAATCTAATTAAAACAACATTTATGAGTCGATTAAATTCAAATTAAGGTCAGATTCATGGAGACTTGTCGGAATCTATTCATCAAATTAGATAATAACCCTTACTTTAAGGTGACTGATAATGTCATATTGCAGGGTAAGTGAGCTGGCTGGATGAGTAGCATGAAATATACTAACATATATATTAAGTACTTTTCTGGTGAGACTTGAGTTCAGCAACATGACCACACTGCTCTGGCATATATACAGTCTACATTCATCTGGTCTGTAGAGCTAGTTTGTTCGGTACTGACTCTTTCTTGAATGATTGTAATTGACAATGATTCAGAATTCAACCATCCATCATCTACACTGCTTGTCCTCCTGAGGGTCACTGGGGGAGCTGGAGCCAATCCATTCACTTTCACATTCACACATATGGTCAATTTAGAGTCTCCAATTAACCTAACTTTAATCGGCATGTCTTTGGACTGTGAGATGAAGCCAGACTACCTGAGAAAATCCATGTTAACACGAGGAGAACATGCAAACTTCACACAGAGAGACAGCGACCAAACCGGGACTACGTTTTAACCACTGCACCATAGTTCTACTCGATTCTCATTCAGTATATGAAAATATATATCCATCCAAAAACAGCTCATAACTTTTACCCAGTGTAAATAACTACAGAGTTTAAGTCTGTTCAACTGATCAACACTGCCCCCCAGTGGACTTTTCTTTTACTGACAGTAAACCTCGGATAACATTGATTAGCTGACAGCAACCTCCCAGACAGTTACTATGGAAACATGACCAATAAGTTCAGTTACCTGTGCTCCTGTCCAACTCCTGCCACCAAGAACTGACCAGAGCTCGAAAACTTCAGACTGTTGATGAAACCAGACTGGAAACAGGAGCAGATGGAGAAACAAAATGAGACATTTTGAAACTGATGTGGCTGCCCAGAAAGCGTATATAAATATATATAAATAACTTGTTCTTAGTTGAAAACACATCTTATGTAAACATGAGCATTTTTTACAAAGGAGAAGAGGAGGTAGGAGCTTACCACTGGTACGGTGAACAGACGCTCCAGCCCACGGTAATTCTGACCACACTTCCAGAGCTGCACCTGTGAATTATGTGAACCTGTACAGAAAAGAACATTGTTGCTCTGTTACTAATAGACAACACATCACTACAAGTACAGCTTAGTTACATATGAGTGAAACCATTCGTAGAATGTAGGACACTAGATTAAGAGTAAATGTATTAATTATGTTGATTAGATTTTTAGTCAAGAAAAAATGAGAAGTTAATTGAAAGCACCCTGGACATTTTTATGTGCTATTAAAAAGCTCATAAAGAGGACTCTCACAGCCACAGGCACCTGAGGCGACGATATCTGAGTTGTGAAGAGCCGCCACTGAAGCGACCCAATGAGGCTGCTGCAGCTCTGCGTCACCATGGCAACCATGTGCCTTCTTCACAGTGCTGAGAGGCTTCTTCTTGTTGACACTCCAAAGAGAGACAGAGCTGAGGTCGTGCAGAAAGATGAGAGAGGGCAACATGAGTGGATCTGTAAGCACGATGAGGTCACAGAAAATTAAACTGCAACTCGTGTCTTACCCATCATCGGCTCCTGTGATCATGTGCTCTTCATTTATGAGCTGGATGCAGTCGATTGAACCTCTGTGGGACAGAGTGATAAAGATGATGTCAGTCTTTCTGTATGTATCGTACAAGTGTCAGAAGTATCAGTTTGTCTCAAAGGACCAAGGCAGAGAGAATTATTGATATGGTTCAAGATATCAAATAAACAATGAAGACACCACATGGTTTTTACCTCCACCATAGAGGTTCTGTTTTCATCTGCATTTGGGTTTTTAAACATTATTGTTGATTTCTCAGAGAATAATTGACAGAGCATGAAGTAAAAAAAATCTGGCACATTTAGGGGACTGATGTGTATGTGCATCTGCAATTTGGTGCAGATCTAATGAATTTAATTGTGGTTTCATGAGGGGACAGTTGGGTCTCTGGGAGGACGTGTGCGCTCTACTGACTGCAATTCTAATTACAGTTTGTCTCTCTGGCCTGTGATGGAACAACAAGCAGAATAAATACTAGGGGCTTAAATATCTGCGTTACAAAGGGGTGATCATGTCTGCTTTGAACCTGCTCTGATTTAATATCTTTATGTAACTTTTCCTACTTAACCATTTATGAACCTACCAGTAGACTAACACATGTGAACTGGTTTCAACAAGACTCAGAAGCACAAGCAACAAAGAGAGAGACTCACTCGTGGCCATGGAAAACAAGCTGAGACTCCTCAGCTATCTTCCACACCCTCACGGTGCGGTCCCGTCCTCCTGTGGTCACACAGCGCTCGCGGCCCAAACTGTCCAGTCCTGTGATATTATCCTGATGCCCAAAGCTACAGAGATTCACAATCACAGTTACATTCACACAATCAAGAGGAATGCAAGTGTTAGCAGAGATCCATTTTTCGTTACTCACAGAGTCTCTACATATGCATTCTCATCCACGTTCCAGACCTTGACTGAGCGGTCATGAGATGCGCTGTACAGATCATGAGTTCCCTTCCTGAAAGACAGACCCTGAGAAGAAAAAGGCACTTTACGATTTACAGGTAGACCTCAAATAGAAGATTAAAAAAAATGTAAGACTTTAAAAAGAGAGAGGAAGAGAGAGGAGGTGAGCTTACCGACACAGGGCCTTTGTGGCCTGTGAATTTATAAAGATGTTTACAGGTCTCTGCCTCCCAAATCATGATCAATTTGTTCATGTCTCCAGTCGCCTAAAAAGATGTGGGGATAGTTGGTGTTAATACAATTTGAAGAAGCTCTTGACTACAGTGGTTAAATATGCACGTTTTCCAAAGCAGAATATACTGAGCACAACTCACCAAGTATTTTCCATCTGATGATATGGTCATGCATAGAATGTGGGCGGTGTGTCCAACATGCCGATCCTCAGTACCCTTCCTTCCACCGGGTATCGTGTGCAGTTTCTTCCCACTCTCCACATCCCCTTGAGATATATGAAAAAGGAAACTGAACTCAGACGCTAAAACAAACTTTAAGCTTTGACAACTATAAGATAAGTTTCATAAAATGGCTTCATAGGATTTCATTGTATACTAACATTTAATAATGGAGCAGTCTTTGGCAGCAGAAAAGATGCACTTGTCATCGGGGGAGATGACCAGACAAGTAACTGGAAGTTTGTGTCCTCTTAACAAACGGATCTCGGACGCTTCTGGTTGAATGAGCTAAAAAAGAAAGATAGAAAATCAAATAAAAGGTCATTTGTTTACAAAATGGTTTTACCCAGGTAAAATAACTGACTAGGAATGTCATGAGAACTGATATTTCAGAACCAAGTACCTGATAAGTGAAATCTCACAATTTTCCTACATGCCACTATTCTGTTTTATAATGTTAATAGTCTTTTCTTTTTATTTATTACTTGAAGACTACATAGTCACTGTTGTTTTTCACATTACATATTTTTAATAAAGTTGTTTTTTGCTTTTTGATCATGGACATTCCTACCGCAGACATCATAATTAGTTTACTTACATCTTTGGCAATAAATCGCTGAAGTTTTCCTTTCTGCTCGAGCTGAGGAGAAACACATGCACACAAAGATAAATAACACAGACCTGTGAATGGTCTTAAGCATTAAATCCAAAATCAATGTGAAGAAGAGTTTGAAACTCGGGAACACAAATCATGCTCTAAACTTTCAAGAAACAATATGAAACTCAGCGTGATATCGACAGATGTGAAATATATTGTCACACAGCCTTATAACAAATATACTGGTTTGTCACACTTACCACTTCTTCTTCAAGCCTTCCTGCGATCAGATCCGTCTCAAAGTCTTCTTCTTCTGCTTTATTCTCATCTGATAACGAAAGACATCACACAATAAACAAACGCATACACTGACCGCACTGTCAGACCTAAAAGTCACATGGAAGACATGAGTTTACCTGCTTCCTTCAGCTGGTCGAGGTACAGTTTGGCTAATCTCAGCTTCTTCTCCTGCGGTGTCTCCCCATAGTCGTTCTCCACGATGACCTGTCTTTTCCTGGGCACTGTGGGGCTGAGCACACGAACAGAACACGTTCACAGCTGCTGGAGACCAAGTGACGAATTCATACGGATGATAAACACTTGAGAAATTCACCCTTCGTTCTCAGAGTCGCTGGAAATCTCTTCGTTGTATCTGGAGTTGGTTTTCTTCTCTCGTAGTTTGCTCTTAGCACCGGGATCCCCATCACTCTGCAGCAGGAGACAACACAAGGTTTATAAGAACACGTTGGCTCCAACGTGTTGGAACGACAGGTTACACCAGGCGACTCAAACTGCTAGTGGGTTAGCTCGTTTGCTAACAGTTGTGCTGACTTACTTTTCGTTTCGGCGCCGCTCCATGTTTCCCCTTCCGTGCTGTTTTGGGGTTTTCTTTCGTCTTGATGAAAAAAGACGACATGTTCAAACGCAGCGTTTGAAACTAAACCAGTTTCTCCCTCAAGTCAACACTGCTCTGAACCCACATGGGTACACGCCAACCAAACTAGGAAGCGCAACCGGGTTTCAACTCAGGCGCTGATTGGCTGCTGGAAAAGGTTTCTCCGCCATGTCCCGCCTTTTTCCGAAACTCTGCGTTTTCATTGGTCAAACTTAGATTTTTTTAGCTTCGCAGGAAACTGTACTTGGGAAAATTCTTCCCCCGGGGAATAAGTTTCCGAAAATGTGTTCCGCACACAATTGTAAAAATCTAAACACGGTCATAATACAAACATGTGCACCATCTGCAGTGAGAGATAATCTCAACAGTCATCATCTCACGCATATTCAACCGCAAAAGATTTGCGTGGCTGTTATAATTGAGCCGTAATTGCAGGAGGATCCATGTAGTGTACTACTGCAGTAGTACTACTACTTCCTCTACTACGCAGTATTTTTTGGTTTACTGCGCTGGCTTTGTCCTCAGTGAGTGTCGTCACAGTTTATCCCTGAGGTCGAGCCGAGCAGCCAGGTGAGCGTCCTCTCGACCACATGTATGGATGATGTATCGGTAATGTACTGGGAGACAGGTCGTGTCACTCATTGTCTGCAGCTGAAGGCTCAGGGCTCCGCGGGTTTGGATGCAATAGGAACTAACTTTTCATCCTCGTCTCCCACAGATGAGTTTAAGATAAATCGAGAATAAACGAGAGAAGTGGAAAAAAGTTGAGCTCAAAAGTTTGATTTCATCCTGTACAGAAAAAAAATGTCTGATAAGTCAGCTGACCACACATCTCCTCTCAGATCGTGTTTCACTTTCTTTTCTTTTTTGTTTTTTTGTTTTAGAGTTTTCCATCCTCATGCCACCCAAGCGAGGTCTAGGAACGACTCCAGCACAGCTGCCCATGAAGATGATAAAGGTCTGTCCAGATGTTCCGGAGTTTGGCTGTGATCCAGAGGTGGAGAAGTATGGGCTGCCCGAAGAATCCAGCTACTCACCCTTCCCCAGCAACGAGGTGAGGGATGTAGTGTGTCAGTGAGAACATGAGCCTCACCATCTTCATTTCAAGTGTTGATCTGATCTCTCCCCATGTGGCAGAATGAAAACATTGAGTTTGACGATGAACACATTGCAAGTCCAGGCATCAGAACTGACACCATCAGTCTCCTCATGAAGATCGAGCAGCTGCAGGCTCAACTCAAATATGAACGCAGATGTAGAATCTTGGCCGAGAGGGAGCTGAGGGAGCTGAAAGGTGGGTGGGAAAACAATATTGATTTATTTATCAATTAATGTGTTCAAAATATCTGGTGAAGCCACACGGTTGGTGACTCATTTTGATCATAGCTTTCTCCAATCATCAAAGTCATCTTTAACAGATTCAATGACACAAAGAGAAGGTTGTATTCTATGAATAAACACATATTACACATGTTACATTGTCACGGTTGAAGCCTTTTTAAATGAAAAAACTTGATGTTGATAGAAATTAAAGTTATTGCTTTAATTCCTAAGAAGGCTTCTGGAAAGTACAGTGTAGTTTGAGGCTAGTTAATCAACTTCCAATTAAATAAATAGTCATTAGTGTTGCCATTTGAATGTGCAGAAATCTATTTATAATGCAGTCATTAACATTGTTATTAAATTAATTATCCAATAATCAATGAATGGATATGAACCTGGATTTAAATTGATTTTTTTCTTACACAGACATTTCTATTCCAATAATATTGATTTTCATTCATATCATTAAAAAAATCCCCAAATTTCCGTCTCGAATATTTGGAACATACAATATAAAAATCTCAATATGTGGCCCAATCAAATCCATCTTATTTGTCTCAACCAATGTACCAGTAAAGAGATGTAGTAGCAGTTTTCAAATGAACAGCTGGACTGTACTGTAAGGAAATTAAAAAAAAGTACAAAATGTCACACAAGATGTTTTGACAGAATTCTGGTTGTTCTGCAAACTTGGATTTATGATCTTAGCATTCCTGACATTCAGCTCAGAGCTTTGACTCTAACCTTACAATGTACTGATTTAAATAGTTTGAAGAATAAACCTGCTCCAGTGTCAACATTTCTAAGCTGATTCAACACTTTGCAGAAATGAACACTCTCATGATGCAGATGAGGCACACGGCACATGAACTGCGAGTCACCCTGGATCATGTTCTTCAAGGAGGCGAGGCAGGAGTTGCGCCACAAAACTCCCAAGATGAAAGCATCTCTTTCCTGGCTGAGCCCGAGATGAGAGCAGTTCATAACATCCCAGAGGTCAGAGGTCATATATTCCTCTTCCTCTAATAACGGCACAATTTTGGAGGATTCAACTTTTTCACTGTCTGAGCTACTGTTTGAAGATGATTTTATGATCAGATTCACCAACAGCAAACAATATGATAAAAGTGATGGAGTCAGAATCATCTCTTTTGTTGTTTTTGGAACTAATTTTGTCTTTGTTTTGCCCACAGGACGATCATAGCTTTCTGTTTCTTGCTGAGAATCTTCGAGTACCAAAAAATCTTTACGAGCGCATCGCAGAGATAGCGGACTACAAAAAATACACTTCAGCGCTGCTGATGATACTTTTCGATAGAGAAACGTTGGCCACCCACTCTCTGCAGGGCCGGAGGAACACCTTCACTGGAGATGATTGTCACAAGCCTCAACTACCACCTGACATCCTGAGGAATATAATTGGTAAGTTACAATTATTATATTATTATTATTATTATTATAATATTATTATCATTGACTCAGTTCAGATCTGATTTTAACATTCTGTGGTCCGATCACTCAAACCACATTCTGTTCTGTGTGAACTTTAAACCACTTGTGATTGGATCTCTCAGGACAGATGTTAATACCCGATCTGAACATGATCATTAAATTGTGCTGCTCGTTCAATATAGTCTTGATTCGACAAAATTGTGATTAAAACCTAAAGATGTTTTCATATGTTTCTTTTTGCAGAGCATGTGGCCCTCAAGTTTGGTGTTGACGGCAGCCAAATAAAAACTGCGATCCGCACAAAGTTGAATAATGAGGACAAACTGTTAAAGAAGAGGATGGGTTTGAGTAAACCTGAAAACAAAGTGATCATCGATCAAAGCTTTTGCCAAGATGCATCACTCCTGCCTGAAAATGAACCTATGACAAGTGACTCTCAGTTATAGCATTTCAAGTCTTTTTATTAGTTGGTTTGCTGGTTTTCATGTCTGGTAGAAACGATTGACAGATTATCTTTGTTAATCAACTAGTTTATTTAGCAATGGAATCTGGTGTCAGTAGTCAATTAGTTTTTTTAACTATTTGTTTTTTTAGTTCAGAATTTGTCATTTTTTACTTTGACAGCTGTTTGTGTTGGATGTACTGTATGTTTAAAAAGTGTGAAGGTTAGTATGGTGACCTAATAAAGTAATTGGACGGCACTATAAAATGTCACGTGGACTCGATAATAAAACATTATTTCAGTTGCGGTAGTGGCTCTGTCTAGATAAGTGGACCACATTTCTTCAGCCGTTGTGTGTTAAAGTAGGAACTGTTTGAAATGATAGAGATCTCATTTGTACATTGTTCTTTACAAATCGTGCAATGCATTAAGTGATCTTGTTTTTGAAGAATAACTTTTGTAGTTTTAGAATAAGCCAGAAGTGATCTTCCTGCTTCCACAGCATCTACTACTCTACTTCTCTGTTATTGTGCTTCACCATGTAAGGGCCAATAAACCTCTGGAACACTTAAATTCCTCCGTCAGTGTAGTGTGTTCCATCAGGAATGTTTTACTTTTAGCAGGGACCAGCAGATGTCAGTGCTGTGCTCTGTTTACGTGCTCTGCAAGGATTTATCCAAGGATTTATCCCAGTGCCTTAAGGGTGCAATTGATGTGAAATGGAACTTCTTATTACAATGGAGGGAATCAAGGGATAGGATCAACTCCACCTGAAGCAGAAAGCTGTGTGTGTGTGTGTGATTGTATGTGAGCGTAGACCTTCCTGAGAGAGGACATTGGTTTTAAGGTTAGGGTAAGTTTAGGTATGGGTTAGTGTTGCATTTAGTTGTCAGTCTAAGGGGCTGGTGAATGCATGATGCCAGTGAGTTTCCTAATTAACATAGAAGTTCAAGCGTGTGTGTTTGTGTGTGAAATGATGAACGAACCAAGCAAATCCACGCATCTCACCGGAGAAGAGAATAGAGGAGCGTGTGTGAAGACAGTGGATAGTGTGTGACAGTCAGAGCCACACACTGACCGATGTAAGACAGAGAGAGAGAGAGAGAGAGAGAGAGAGAGCGTGTGTTTGTAGTAATTCTTGTTGAGTCTTAAGGGCCATTTCCAGCATAAACACTAACCTAAACAGGACCACTGGACCTCATGGGGACCAAAGCTCGGTTTATTAAATTAAATTAAAACCCATATGGTAAAGATTCATAATAAAAATGATTAAAAGTGTGTGTGTGTGTGTGTGTGTGTGTGTGTGTGTGTGTGTCAGATTGACAGTCATCTTCTCTTGAAAGATGTGAACAATCATCAACCGCTGGCTCCTCCCCCTCCCTTCTTACAAACCAGCTGTTCTGTCTCAGTGAACCCACAGCACATCACCTCTCTCACTCTCTCTCTGTCAGCACCAGCTCTCCCTGGAGTCTCTCCTCAAGCTTCATTTGTCTGATTCTTTGGGGAAAAAATAGCAGTTTTCATCAGAAGTTGCAACAGGACAACACAGTTCCTGAGACAGCTCTGTCGAGTGGATCAGCACTTTCTCCAGAGCTGGAAGCAAAGCCCGAGCATTGACCTCTGAGGATTGAGAATGATTCACCACAGAGCTTTGGAAGGACTCAGAGGAAAAGTTTGTTTTGGTGGAGCTGCAGCCAAACTGTAAGAGGTACTTGGTAAGTTTTATTCTTGTTGAGACAGAGTTGAGAGTTGAGTGGTCGTGGAGAGTCAAACCTATTTCTTTTTACAATTATATCAAAATTTGAAGAAGAAACATCGAAATGAAGATAGATTTGTTTGTGATACTGTAATGAGACTACATAAATATTCCACTGAGTGCATGAATGTTCAACTGTGCATTACAGCCCTCTCTGCAAAGGCCTGGAATATTACGATGGGGTGAGATTTTGACCTCTAATGAACCTGCAGACATTTAGTCTGTATAGTTAACACAGACCCAAAAATATTTAGAAACACTGATGGAGCTAATGATATTAATAACCAGTGGTATTTATCAGCTGTTAACCTTTTTAGCATTCAGAATAACAAAGCCAAACCTCATATAGTTAGTCATTCTGTATAGTGGAACATATGCGATATTAAATGAATTTATTTTCTCTATAAGAAAATGTTTATATATCTTGGATTAATAAAATGTACATTGTTATTTTCAATTTCCTAAATTAGATTATACCTATTTATAAAATTATATATTTTTCCTCTTTGATATTGAATCAATATTGGCAATCAATTGTACTACATACATGCAATAAAACTGGTTGTCAGCATAATTAAAAAAAAAACAAACAAACAAAGTGGATTATGGGATTTTCCCAATTGTGCATAATTACTTCATCCTCATTATAATGTAGAAAATAATTCATATATGGTTATTTCTTTACATCTTTCTAAAAGGTAAGGAACAACAGCAAATGCAAAATGCACTGAATGTTTTTCTCATGAATTAATAATAAGAGGAAGTTAAATAAATAAATAGACTGGCTGAAAATGATTATCCCCTCAGAAGTAAAACGTGGACATTAAGGACGGAGCATATGCTGAGGCTGAGGCTGGAACCCGATGAAAACGAGGACACCCTTACATAACATGCATGGAAATGTACATGTGGTTGGTGGGGATAAATCTAAGAGCGAGCGTGGCATGCCAATAGCTGTTCACCAGACAGATTACGGCAGGGGAGCGAGGGCATCAGTGGATCACTGGCAGGGAGCGAGCACATGTATTAAGGACACAGCATCTTCCACAGTCGTCCAAGTGAAACCTGATTATTTGTAGATACTGAATGCAGGAACAGGAATGAAAGTATAAACACATATATACATGTTGAACATACAGTAAACACATGTATTCAGTCATTGTATTCTGTTGTTTGTCATGAGAATGTGCACAATGACTCAGGGGTCAGACCTGGGTGGGTGAGAGGTTTCCTCTTTGATGGTGCGATGCAGGGTGACTCTGAATACATACTAATCAATGTCGCCGGTTCCCTGCAGCTGGGCTAAAACAAGCACACTCATTATCTTTCATTTCAAAAGGACAGGGACGGACGGAGGAGAGACGGAGTGAGACGGAGTGTCCTCCATGAATTATTCCTATTGATCAAGTTGCTGCCGCTAAACAGAGAGAGAGAGAGAGAGAGAGAGAGAGAGAGAGAGAGAGAGAGAGAGAGAGAGAGCAGCCCTTTTAAAATATCCCCACAAATTCTATAAACAGTTATCGATTAACTTCCCAACATCTTCAAGATATGTGCATGCACTGTGTGTGTCTCTTGAAGGTTATGATAACGCAGTGACGACCTGTGGATGTTTGGTACAAATGGAGAAAATTATGAATAGAAAGACATTTCTGCATGCAATTGGTTAAGATAAATTGAGATGTCATGTTTAGTGCACCAAACCAACAGCGATGTCTTATGTGGCTCTGAAGGAGCTTTGTCTGTCCTGATGATGTCATTGCATTGTCATTGTTATGTCAACTTAGGCCTGCGTTGTTTTCTCCGGCAGCAGACAGACACAGCTGGCGACTCGCTGGTGAACATAGAGGAGCATTTAGCGACTGGAGAGCCAAAGTCCCTTATGAATTGTTGCAGACCAAAATGAGAGAGAATAGAAAGTTTCTGTTGGTCATATATCCACCAAGTGACCACTATACGACTCCAAATCATAGGCTTTATATGAAGATGAATGACGCGTCTCCACTTCCTCCAATGATCCAGAAATGAAGCCAAAATATCCCGCGTACGAACATTGCTGTCTCGCAAATTTGGAGCCAGAGTTTTCAGTAGTGATCAAGGGATGACAAGGAATACATTTGTTTCTTTGAGAAAAAATTATTGGACATTGCATTCGTTTTTTGGAGGAGTCAGGATTTCTTACCTTTACTGTAGCCGGTCACCAGGTGGTAATTGAGGCCCTTTGGCTTCACTTTTTGTCTGTCACCGTCTATGCTCCAAATTAATTATAATGTTGCCCTGTATCTGCAGCTACAGTTACCCAGGACACTAAACATTCCCATGAGCCTTTGCATCTTTGCTGTCCAATCAGAATGACCGGCTCAACGATCGCTACAATATGTCAGTGTTGTGTTCACTGCTTCTTTCCCTTAAGTGACAGTAAACATCAGCAAATGCAATTTATCCAGCTGAACATGAGTTTCCACAACTGTTGAATATTCTGTGTTAATGGATTTTATTTTCTCTTCACAGGAGTGAAGTGTGTTTCATTTGATGTGTAAAGCATTCTGTTGCCTCATCACTGAATAATGGAGGAGTCTGGAGATCGGCTGTGTACTTTGAAACTTTTATTATGAATCATGGAGGAAAACAGTTCATTCCCGACCCCTGATTACAATGACAGCACCGCCGCATGGCCACCAATGCCTTCAGCCCCCAGCAGACACCTGGGCACCCTTCCCAACCCCCAGATGCGCTTCAAGGACCTGACAGGGATATTTTTCATGGTGACCATGAATGTCCTGGCACTTCTGGCCAACACTGCTGTTCTGGTTGTTGTCATAAAAGCCCCTCATCTCAGGAAATTTGCCTTTGTTTGTCACCTGTGTGCGGTGGACCTGCTCTGTGCCATCTTGCTCATGCCTCTGGGGATTGTGTCCAGCTCTCCGTACTTTGCTGGCGTGGTGTTTACTATGCTGGAGTGTCAGGTGTACGTATTCCTCAATGTAATCCTCATAGCCGCCTCTATCTTCACCATCACGGCCATCAGTGTTGAGCGTTACTACTACATCGTCCACCCTATGCGCTACGAGGTGAAGATGACGCTGAAGCTGACTGCAGCTGTCATGGTGATGGTGTGGGTGGCCTCTGCCGTGCTGGGGCTGTCCACTGTGTTTGGGTGGCCGTCCTACAGCCGTCTGAGCACCATCAGTGCTGCACACTGCTCGCTGCACTGGAGCCACAGTGATCACAGACGGATCTTCTCTGTGCTCTTCAGTGTCACATGCTTCTGTCTGCCAGCTGTTGTGATTTTTGCTGTCTACTGTAATGTGTACAAGGTTGCACGTGTGGCCGCCCGCCAGCATGGACCTCTGCCCACGTGGACAACTAATCAACTGAAGCTTCGCTCTGACTCAATAAACAGCCAGACCACCATCATTACAACCCGCAACGCCCCGCGCAGGATCATGCGTGACCGGCCTTTTGGTGGTGGTAAAGCTGCTCTCACTCTGGTGCTAATTGTTGGTCAGTACTTGATCTGCTGGCTGCCTTACTTTGCCTTCCACCTCCACCTGACGCTACATGCAACACCCATCATCCCCGAGGACCTGGAGGAGACAGTTACCTGGCTGGCCTATTCCTCCTTTGCAGTTAACCCATTTTTTTATGGGCTTCTGAACCGGCAGATCAGGGAGGAGCTTTGTAAACTGAGGCGCTGCTACGCGGCCCGGCCCGTGGAGCTGGCGGCCTCCAGCCACGAGGGCTCAGGCCAGGAGAACTTCCTGCAGTTCCTCCACAGGACCAGCTGCACGTTAGAGACACGAGCAAGCTTTGCCACACCCAGTCCCAGAAACACTCTGGATCAAACTGGGCAGACCGGATTCAGGATACCAGGACAGATCCCAGAAGAGTTTGGTTAGATTTATATATACCTCACTGTTTTGCCACAGGGTTAATACTCTGCTCTGTTAATACTCTAAAATAAGCTCAGATACAGCACCGAGACATAAACACAGGGTTTTTTCTTTGATACTTGACACTTTCATCTTTTCATCGAAAGATAACACTCAAAGAAATACTGAGACAGAACGCTAATAGGCAGTTTAGTTATCGTTACAGTTTATGTGGTAAAATGAGTTTTACAGTGACTCATCTAATAAGGGACACTATTCTCACTATTAAAGCAATGTTACTGTTTTCTGCAATCAGTAGATCCATCTCAATAAAAGTCATCACTGTACAGTAAATTATGACTTATTTTTATATGAAGTACAAATAAACCAGCAATATTCCCTATACGAGTAGATAATAATTCAATGCTGACATGTTGTATTTATGTGACAAGGATTTCTGTAAACCTTATTTATTGTACTCAAAGAAGAGACACATCACTTTTTGTTCAAGAAATTGTTTTATATGTGCAAATAAACACTATGATTTATGTAAATCATGGTAAGTAATAATTTAATCTGACTGTATATCACCAGCAAGTAATACACTGTGAACAAAAACAAAAATACACTCTGTTGCCCAGTCAATCATTTAAATGTCTTTACTGTCATTCATAAAGTCTCTTAAACTGAAGAATCAACATGAGTCCGCCTTCCCACTAAAAGTCTGTCACATGCCTAGGCTAAGAATAGTTTCCCATCAGTCTCTGAACACTAAAAAACTCTCAAATGAGGCATATGAGCGAGTATCATCATATCTACATGTGCATCCTGATTCTGTCTCTGCAGAAAAGAGCTGTGGTTTTCTGGGTCCTGACTTCCATGTCCATTTGTGACTAAGACTGAGCCCAGTTAACCCAGGATTAGAGGAAGGAGAAAATACCATTTCATAACAGCTCAAATGGTTGTATTTAATACCCTCTCAATATATGAACACGGGCAGATTAACCACATTTCCATCCTTCTATCTATGAATATGATTTACTTGTGAGATTCCGATATAGTCCAGTATAGTTTGTTCCTGTCGAAGTGCGTTAATCATTAATATTCTATACAGATCACTGGAGACACATTGATGTCTTTGTGTTAATGTGGTGGATGTTTTGAAGGTAGGGGCAGCTCCACTGCTCAGATTAGAGGATGACATCGGGTAGAGACGCTGACAACTGGGGACAAATGAGAACAGCACACAGAGCTAGATTTACATAAAACCTGTGAACACCATCCAGAGACACAGATCAATCAACACATCAACATATTGGAAATGTGTGAAAAATAAAAACTTGCTGTTAAGTATCTGTGATGCATCTTATCACAGTCAGTGAAGACAGACGACACACACACATAAACACACACAGTAATTTATTGACGTCCAGATATGTTAAAAGCAAGCTAACACTGTGCCAATTTATGGTGTCTGGCTATAAACTCAGTTGTGTAAGTGCTGCAGAGAAGCAATGCAGCTATTATCAAAGCCAACATAATAAAATACAGCAAGGGAACAAGCCGTTATGCACAAAAGAATGAAGACACTTCAATCAAGGTTTGTTGTACACAAACAGGATACATGTCATCAGGTCAATGTCATCCCCACAGTCATATAAATAGGATGATTGAAAACGAGGGATCATATGAGGAGATCTTTTTCAGGGCTGATGTCATGTCAGTGGACAGTTTTAGCTGTAATTTTTGTGGATTTTTGCCTTTATTGTGAAGAGGTTGCATATGTGAAATTGGGAGAGCGAATGGAGGAAGACACTGATGTCGATCCTGAACTTGCTGCTGCCGTGAGAGGACTCAAGCCTCTTTACCTATTGGAATTTATCAGTAATATTTTAAATCATTTTTATTCTATACTTATTGGACATGACTGTCAGACTCATGTTGTGCTCCTAATTGTTCAAATACACACATTTTTATTTCAACTCCTGGTGAGATACAAAAGTTGGCAAAAATACCAATTCCATTTTTATGTTTCTAAGCATCATATGTTGTGAGACAGGGGATTAGGAAGTGTCACAAAGTGGAAGTGTCACAAAAATAAAATCCACATTTTGTACCTCAGCTCAAAAACCAACCTAAACATATTCAGTATATATGAGTCAGTGAGAAAGAGGTGATTGATGCAAATACACTTCAAAGAGCTGACTGCTTGTTTCATCAGCCCGCCTCCAGAGTGTGAGATTCACTTTAATGAATGTTTGAGTCTGGGCCGTCTTCATAAGCTGCTAATTAAAGTGAAAGACCTCCCAGCTCAGGGGCCACTTCTATTAAATCAAGACAATCACATTGACCGTCCGCCTCAACCACAAATCATATTCACTGTAGATCAAACACACGTCTGATCTCTATAGAAAATGAGAATTCAGGCATTGAACTGATCCGAGTTTTTTTTAACGCTAACTCTGCTGAAGCGAGAACATTGTGCATGCTGCCGGTTTGCTGCTGCTGCACAGACAGTGATAATGAGGAGCTCTCAAAGGGAGAAGGTGTGAGTGATACGGAACTCTGACACAGCATGAGTTTCCTGCATGTACACATTTAACATGTTCACACGGCACAACCTCACATCCTGTTCACTCAGCTCTCACAAACTAATGAAGGACCCGAAGCCAGGATGAAGTAAAGATGTGCATGTTACAGGCTCTCGGCTTAGAAATGGTCGAGCACATGACCATGTCAGATTCATTCTGTAAATGTATTTTTTATTCTGTGGTGGATTTAGATGGGAACAGCAGAGATTAGTGATTGCATTGTTAACTGGACATGTCAGATAATCAGTCTGACCTATTGTACTGAAAACAGCTGGACAGTCTGACAGTCTGACAGTCTGACATCCCTTATCCTGCATATAAGCTGCAGAGGGGGTGGACTGTGGGTACAACCCTGGTTAAAAACACATATCCACAATGAACATTGCATGTGTATTTTATCTGAATAGATGTTGCTCCTTTGAGTTTTTATGCAAGGTTACATCATGCATTGTCATGTTGAGGCCATGAGACGTTATTTTGAGAAAGTTTTGTCTGTCTCATTTGGATAAAAACGATTTCATATACTTTGATATTAATTTTATAAACCAAAAATGTCCCCTCATAGATGTTGAATGCACAAATTGCAGCTCAATGACATGTATTGTAATTTCATTCGTCAGTCAGGATTAGGTTTTTGTTTGGAACACAATCAGGTGACAGTCCTGACACAGTCCTGATGAAGCACATTAACTGAGATTAGATTTAAGGGAATTAAACACCACTGTATTACGAAATGTTAAATAACAACCAGAATTATGCCAGATAAAATACACAGAATACACTTTACACATATAGTTTTAATTCAGTATTTTAGATAAAATATTATCCTAGAACTCTTCTTTGTTTTCAAATGACTGTAGCAGTATAGGAAGATTTTCCAAAGTAGTGACTGTGTGACTTCAATTTATTCAGAATTTCACAAAATAACCCCAATGAGTACAGAACATTCTGCGAAAAAAAAGAAATGTCCTGGGTATGAAAACACCCTCCACATGTGACGTCTTGAGATAAGTGTTAAGGTATAATTTGCTGGGACTCTCTCTTCCTCTTGTCCACTCACCCTCTCTGCTGACCTCACCTCTGCAGCCATGGACTCAAACAAAGCCCATCTGCCGGGGTGTGCAGTCCATTAGCATACCCTCGTCTCCTGCACCGACACAGGAAACTCTCAGTCATCGATGCACCGTGTTCTCTCTCTGTCTTCATCCAGCAGGCAGGAATGATCATTACCATGGAGACTGTGTCTGGCTCATTGTAGAGTTTGTTTGGACTAAACTCTGAACTGATGCACAGCTAGTCAGTAGAAATGTGTTCACTATATGGTAACATGCAGTTTTACTCAAATTATGATTGAATTACATTTTTTGGTACTAGTCAAACCAATTAAACTATATTCAAGCCAAAGATCACACAAAGAAATTTAATACAAAATGTTAAATGAATTTAATATTTGAGTTTTGCAGATGAATTTCATGCAGCATTAATGCCTCTGAATAAATTACCTTCTTTATTTACCTCATTTTTATCAGATTATTAGCCAGCTGCTGCACCAGGCCATTGTTTGGTGAACATAATGAGGAGGAGTGTGACATGGCTTTCTGTGATTAAGGTCAGGTAAGTAGGTTAGAATAGTGAGATCAGGTCTAACTCTGTGGATTCAAAGCTGTCCTATTATTAACACTGAGCATGTTTGGTTAATGGGTCCGAAGGTCGACAGAGGTGAAAGTGTTTTCCTTAAAAGCTTGTTGCGAAAGGTGTTTTACACCAAACAGAGTGCAAAGTCCTGACGACACTTTTCACAGTATCCGGACCTAAAGAGGAGGATACTGGCATGATACAATACATTTCCTGTTGCTTCTGCTCTGGGATTGATGGTGAGAGAGCAAACCAAGGCAGTGATGCATCCTTACACACACAATTAACAGCTTTCCAGTAAACCATTATCTCACCCCTAAAACAACGTCAACGGTTTATAAGAAAAAGGGGTTTATTTTCCCTGATTAAAATCAACCAGTAGCAAAGAGGATGGCATCTGAGACGTAGAATAAACTTGATTTCAGCAACTGAGCATTTCAGTTTCCTTATTATTTTGAGATAGGATCCATAAGAGTACAAAATAAATAAACAATCATAATAAAGATTTGTTGTTAGAGAGATTAAAGCTGCACCTGCAGAATCATTCCCTCCACACAGGAGATTAGGTTTTCACCTCCATCCGTTTGTTAGTTTCTTGGTTTGTTTGTTTGTTTGTAAGCAAGATTATGCAAAAACGTAATGGAAGCATGGGAAAGAACCCATTACATTTTGGTGTGCAGCCAGATCAGGGAGTCACAAACTTATTCCCCCGTTTCTTTAACATTCTCAAATATCCCATATCTATGAGTTTGTGAAATGTAAGGAGACTGATGGGCCTCAGTGATATGTGCTCTGCTACGTGCAATTCTAATTCTTGAAGACACTTCATTTTGATTACTGGCCAGAGGGGGGCAGGAGTGTCTTGCAGCCTGACTCCTATTCTGCCATCAGGCTGAGAATGAATGGAATAAATGAAAAAAAAAAGCAATGAATGAAATCATCAAGGCAATAGTACTTATATCTCTAAATCACTAAATATTCTGAATGGAACTGTTTTCCTTTGTCACATGTTTGCAGGTTTGTCTCATGTTGTCTGTGTGATTACATTCCCTGTAGCTTGCATCAGTGTTTATACTGGTTCATCTGCATGCCCACAGTATTAATATCCCCCCTCCTATACTTCGTGTCCTCCCACTGCACAGGAAAATGATCCTCACTCCGCAAATACCACCCAGGGCACCGTAACATTCCCAATATAACCCTGGTGCAACCGGGGAGTCCGGCCAGCGGCCTCAGTCTGAGCTGTTGGTGCAGAGACGGACATCTACTCTGCTTCTCTTGGAGAGTGTCTGCTTCACATGTTCCCATGGATTCCACGATGAAAGGGGAAGATTCAGAGGAAGTAGAGATTGACTTGGAGGACTCTGAAGACTTTGATAATGGGGAGGAACCTCAGATGCTGTGGAGGGCCCATCCGGCTCATGAGGAAGAGGAAAACATTCATACTTCCACACTAGTGGAAATCAGCGATACAAAGCCTCTGATTAATGTCAGAGACCCCCGAGGTATCAATGACTGCCTCAAGGTAATGCATTCCTCTGCAGTAACTTTGTTTTATCAACCACTTGATTAGAAATGTTGATTCATTAATTGATAAAACCACTAAGAAGCAGGAACCTTTCTTTCTCATTGCACTGCCCTCCAGTGGAGATGTGTTCTATGTTGAAAGTGAATCATCCTCTTTGCCACCATCACTTCTCCATGTGTCTCCAGGTAACGTTTGAGGATGTGATTGCTGAGCCAGTGTCGGTGCGCAGTGGCGACAGAGTTTGGATCTGGAGCCACGCCCTGTTTGAGGTGTGCAGGGTTTGGATTTACAGGATCGTCACTGTGCTTCTGGCCATCCCCATATCAGTGATCTCCGGCCTCCTCTTTGCCATCTTCAGCTGTTTCCACATCTGGTAGGTTCAGATCCTGCTGCCTTCAGGACTAATATTATGTATAATATTAACATGACAACAAACTCTGAGTGGTGTCTAACCACAGCAGTAGTTTGACTTTAATTTGGCCAGAGAACCTCCATCGCTAAACAATATTTATGGTCTATGCAGCCTCGACTGCCAAATATTAAACATTACATTCTATAAAGATCTTGAAATAAATTCAGAAATAAATAATCATATGGAAATAAATTATAGAAATAGTTGAGTAGATTTTTCATTATGAAAATAAACTTATTGGTCTTTTTTCTTTTCTGCTTTTATTTCATAATGGATTTAAAACTCAAATAAATACTAATACTGAGTTAAGGTGACCATTGATGTTATTTAGATGCATGGTGGGAAATCCATAATCCACAAGTGTTTAAGTGACTGGACATCTAAAGACACTTTCCATCTTCATGGAAGTGTAATAAGAACTATTTAACTGCACTGGTTTTCACTGTCTGGCTCTTGGTGAAAACACAATAGGAACAACGGGACACATTTATAGAGAGGAGGGGTAAAAAAGAGCTTTCGTCTTCCTGTAACAGGATGGTGAGTCCCTGTATCCACTGTATTCGTATGGGCACCCGCTGGCTGCAGAGCCTGTGGAGCATCGTGTTGGGCATCATTGTGCGTCCCTTCCTCACGAGCGCTGGGAGATGCTGCGGAGGCTTCAGCATCCACCTGGCCAAAGAATGAGACTCACCCAGGAGAAGCTAATCCTTGAGGATTTATTTCAACATTTCATCCAGGAGTGATATTGAAAAGAGGATGTGAGTTAATGTCACGTGATACAAACTGGGTTTCACCATAACTTTTGTTACAGGGGCTGAAAATAATGAGAAGAAGGAATGCAGCATGCAGCACTTTTACTGATTTCAAAATGGGGCTATGTTTCTTAGAGTTTGAGGTCATTTCAGTAGAAATTGTTATGTTCATTGAATTTATTTTAATAATTTTGTTACAATGTTTTAGTTTGGTGTTATATTTTCTTACATTTTATATCTGCAGTTTAGTTTTGTTCCTCAAGGGGCAAAAACCATGATGACATAATTTGATTAAAGAAGTCCCTCATTTTAAACCTAGAATAGAAAAGAAGAACCAGTTATGATAGATGTGTTTTCCTGGGAAGAAATGATAATGATTTCTGTTTGAAATTAGATCAGCTCTGAGCACTTAACATATTTAATGTTTTAAAATGAATAATGATAATAAAACGTATAAACCCATTTATTGTGATTGAAGCAAATATTCAAAGCATGTGTCCCAGGGTATGAATAATATGAAAGATGATGGCCCACAGGACAGGCCGTGTAATTACCTTCAAATATTTATCAATGCAACAGATCTCCAGATTGAAAACAAGCATTCTTGGATTTCATATAGATTTATTTATAGGCTACGCTGTTTATATGGTTCCCACTGAACAGTATGGCTCCTTCTTATGGAGCAGGGTGACCTGCAGCATGAGCCGGTTTCCCTCTGCGTGAATGCTTTGACACAGTCACAGTGTGAGTCATCACGTGTGTGTGTGTGTGTGTGTGTGTGTGTGTATGTGTGTGTATGTGTGTGTGTGTGTGTGTGTGTGTGTTTGTGTGTGTTTGTGTGTGTTCTTGATATGGTATGTCAGCAGTACTCTCTATTTGAAGAAGCTGTCAGCTGCTCGCTGGCGGCCCAGCCCTGGAATAACACTGAGTGGCGTTTCAGTTCACACACTGCCACTCCCTGCCCACATGTGGCTCAGAGTGCAGCCAACACACCCAGACTCTCTCGCTTCATTATCTCAGCTTCAGCTCCAACCTGCTCTTTTCGTCAGAGAGCAAGCGGGATCATGGCTGACATGCAGGGACACAGTCGAGCAGAAATTCTCTACTTTGGAGATTTTTTTTTTTAGTGAAATGTTTAATAGTTTTGTCAATAGTCCACGTGGTCACATTTGACTGCTGCCAAGCACAACACGTTGTCCAGCTGTTAAGCTTTGAACACAATTTCAACACATTAAAAGCTTTTCTTTACGATGCAATGAAAAGGTGTTTTCTTTATTGTCAACAGGTGCTTTGGTTCATATATCTACACAGTATTAATGAGTGAATTTAACTTTAATAGACAAGTCGTGGTGGTGATTCAAACTCTCTAGGAGGATTTTAAGTTAGGATTCTTGCTATATGACTCAGGGGTTAGAGAGGGTGGTCCACCTGAAGCTGAAGATTTTACTCTTGTTTTAATCTTGGAATCTTAAAAATGATCCTCCCCCATCTTAAAACTGCACCATGTGAATGCTGCTCTAAACCTCAAGGTTTTCTTTGAATCCTTGCCAGGTTTAACAAAGTTAAAGAACATTTTAAAACACTTTAAAAATTCTTACTCTTAATGAGGTAAGAATGCACATTATATGATCATGACACTGAAACTCTCCATATGTTGAGTGTAAAGAAGTTGGCACATCATATGGAATCATAAAGCTGGAGACACTGAGCAAGAAAGACAAGATAAGAGTAATAACTGTGGCCACTAGAGGGAATCATTTTCACCACTTGGTCCCAACTGGGTTAAATGTGCTTTAAATCTGAGGTTCATGTACACTGAGAACACAGAGATGGAGTTGATAAAAACAATGATGTGCAGACACACATGAAAGTAGTGGAAATTATTTACAAAGCGAATTTCATGCTACAAACACTGTTTGATCTGTGGCACAAGAAAGTCTGCTGACTATATTGAAACCAGTCGGCTTAATATAAAATTAATTCTTATTGATTTTCTTTGTTGATTATTGTCTTGAGCTTTTACAGTGAACATTTTTGCATGAAGCCAAACTTTAAGAGTGAATTTTTTTTTCATAGATTTCTTAGTTCATGCAACATTTTCATTTAACCACACACATGATAGAATAACATGAGTATAAAATACTTGTACACAAAATAATATTGCATTAAAGGTCAAACAATAACTCCTTGAAATGTAGAAGTATTTGCACTGAGCGACAAATTATCAAAATGCATTTAAACAATTTGCTTTGATTTCCAAGAAATAATATTTGTACAATATTTGACCATCGCTTATCTTTCAAGGTCAAGTCAGGACAACAAGACTTTAAGCTTCAACACTGAAGGACAAAAGTATATGAACAACAACTTGTGTATGTTTACACAGAAAATAAGTCTTAAGTAGAAGAGAAACACTGTATATGCAGCACAGGAAGTTCAAAAGGAAAGCAATGTTTTGCAAAAGCAGAGGGCATCAATCCTTAGAGATATAAACTGATGCCAGATGTAGCCTTACTGCACATCACAGTTTGGACAGAGATGTTGTTCTGCTCTCTGTTATCTCAGGGTGCAGGGAATGGTCTGGAGAGGATGTTTGCATTGTCTATTTACCTCAGTATAAAGCATTTGAAAAGGAACACGCTGCAATGGCCAACACCACAGCACCGCTGCAGATAATTAGTTGTGTGAGCAGCATGATTACCACACTACTCGACAGCTGCTCGGATGCTTGAATGGCGTTCATGTGGCTTTTCAGTGTCCCGGTCCCCCTGTGCTGGACGTGTGTGTGAGGCTCCGCTGGCTGCTGGTGTTCTTGATGACGTAAGTGGAGCAGTTCCTCTTGTGCCTAGAGTGTTGATCGCAGCCGCAGGAGGAGTCTGTCAGGGTCTGTCGACAGCAGCAGGAGAAGCCCTGCACCAGGTCGTGGAACAGGTGACCAGCAAAGAACATGTAGATCCAGGGGTTGCAACAGCTGTTGAGACTGGCCAGCAACATGGCGATGATGAAGGGAATGTCTTGAGAAAAAGACAGAGAAAAACACAGACCTGAAATCAATACATACAAATTGTAATAGTGCTATTAAATTCATCTGAGTGGGTTGGATTGGGAATAGTTTTTTATTCCAAACTGAAATAACCAAGCATCTGATGATATATTTTTCTTGTCAAACCTCAAAGTTGGCCTGCAGGTAACCCAAACACATTATATCTTAACCATCTCTGCCTCAAAGGCCTCAATTCCTGTCAAAACCTTTTTAAACACATCAGTGAACCACAGCATTGTGCTTGGTGACATCCTCCTTCATCATGATGGAATCATCATGTTTATTTTCAGTATGTCGCACAGATGCCATCCTGCTGCTGGAAACACTCGATACAGAACCAAGTCCTCAGAGGAAAAATGTTGCAAACAAATAGAGTTCTCTCCTGTTTGTGTAACAATTATATATATTATTTATATTAAAACTATTTATATAACTACCAATTTTTAGAGATTTCACTATTTGAGAAAGTGTGTTTGGGACTAAGAGCAGACAGGACATTTGGAAATGAAGAGCTTTAATGGTTTAGGTGTTTTCATTGGATATATTCATCAAAACAACATCAGTCACTGTTAGTGACCTGCAATCTGTCAAGGGTGAACCCTGGCTTTCACCCAATGAATGCTGGGAAGGGATCCAATTCCTTGATACCTAAAATAGATTTTTAGAAGGGGAGTGAATGGGTGACTCTGCAAGACGCCAATAAAGAAGCATGTTTTTCTCAATGCCAGTAAGATGTAATCACCTGATGGACTGAAGTTCAAACTTTCAAACTGCAATTCTAAGTGTTTGAGTCATTGCCAGGAGTCACTGACATTGTTGAGATATTTGTTGTATTGAACTTTCCAGTAGCTCCGCCATTGAGTCAACTCTTTTGTTTTTTACTAAAAAGCATCAAAAAGAATTGCATAGATTTCCACGTAATTTGGTATGGACACTTCCATGGTCCCAGAGGTTGATTTGTATTAACCTTTCACGTGACACCATCATCAGGTCAACGTATTCAATATTGTGGTTCATGATGAAAAAGTTAGCAGGCTAACAAGCTAAACCACCAGCATGACTGTGAGATCTTCATTGTGACTGTAATGAAGCGTGTAAGCTATGTCAAGAAGCGGCTAGAAGCCAAACACTCACTGGTCGTAATTTACCTGCATTTCTTCAAGATGAAGTCAAGATTTCACAGATTGTGTAAAGTTTGAACTATCTATTTCATCTTATATAAATCAGTTTCTTTCCGGGGCAGCTGCCCAAAAACATTTATTTTATAAGAAAATACCGTCAGTTGATGGATGCGATTCTAAGTAGCTTGAGTTGTAGCTTGACAAACATATGATAAACTGGCTTCAATTACAATGGGCTGTACTGAGTAAAAAAACCACAAGTTATTATATCTCATTAATCCATTTGATTACATTTCCAACTGTTGGAGCTTCAGATCACGAAGAATCCCGACATGTAGGAATGGGGGAAAGTGGAAGACCTCCAATTTATTTTTCCAATCTTTAATGTGGTGTGAGAGATTTAGTCCTCGTTGTCTTCTTCTCCTCTGTGGTCAAAATGCTGACCTGTTCTATTCATGCCGTTCTGACTCGCTATAGCTTTATTTTGGGAGGTGTGGTGTGTACAGTGTCAACCAAATGGCCTGTCAAGACTTGTTCAACAGAGAAGTTAAACAAGAGATTATTTAGTGCAGGAAGTGTAGGGTCATGGAAGATACAGTCCTCATATGGCCAATTACTACACCGCAAGAGCATTTTCTTATTTAACCCTGCTTCTCTTCACTTCAACTAACAGACACTTATCACTGTCTGCCAGAAATGAAAGGAAAAACTTTAATGCTAACTCCTTCTTCTGCAATATCATGATGGACAGTGCCACTATTTTCAGACTAAAGCTGAAAATAGAAAGGAGGCAATAATGCTGAGAATTAAATGGAGGATTTTAATTATACAGCCATTTTATTGAGAGTGCATGCTTTATCCAAGATTAGTCTGAGGATAAAAAGTTAATCAAACACCGCATAAGTGCTCAACGTCAGATTCTGCTTTATTATGAGTGGATCCTCTGCAGGTTGTTCAGCGCAATAAAGACATGACAGGAAGTTCATGGCCGAGAAAGTGCTCAAGGTGTTTACAGATCACCATTACGTCAGAGAGAATGCAATAAATCAGTAAATATGTCAGTGGAATATGAATTAACTTTACCTTTACACTAAGGGATGGACAAAAACTTATCTTCAAAATGTTTTCTTTGAAATCTAGTTGTTAACATCAACTGCATGTGAACTAGATGATTTATCTACCACTCTGCCGTTTATGAAACTGCCCCAAAATACGTCGAAATATTTCAAATTGATGACGTCTGTCCTCCTCCCCTCTCTGTTTCTTTCTCCCACACACGTGTTAACCATATGTATACCATAATCAGTTCAGGTATTTATTCTTAGAATTTAATTATTTTACATTTGATGTGATTGATGTACTGTGCAAATCGATAATTACTGTCAGTAATAAATGATTAGTTAAACAATGATCTGTCTGTGTAGCAATACTGTCCAATGAAAACCACATGTCTTCAAATTTGGTGATTTGAAGGTTTTTGATTGGACCTTTAGTGTGGAGTTTGCATGTTCTCTCCAGGTCTGTGTTGGTTCCTAAACTAAAGACCAGACATAATGCAAGCGTCTTTACTCATTTTGGAGTGACACACTTGTCATTTATTTGTCCAGGGCTCATTTGATGCCCCGTGGGCGTGATGTTCTCGAAATGAAGTGAGGTCAGACACATTGTGATCTTGAGGCTGTGGAAGTTTTTTGCGATTTTGATAAACCTAAACAGGATCTGAAGACAATGGTGCAGCATTTCATTATTGTTATAAGGGAATATTATCAAGATATCATAGATCATATGCACAAGTGCACACTCTTGCTACACACACAAACACACAGATGGTCTGCTCACACGCAAAGCTCTGAAAAGACGAGTTTTCTATCACCATCTGGCAAGTCTGCGTTACAGGGATCTACACTCCAGACAAGCTGTCAGCTTTTTTATACAAGCTAATCTGACATTTAAAGAGAATGGGAGATGACACTCTGATTGGTTTATTGCATGTTACGACCATGATTAATAAAGAGACTAAGTGCAACCAATTTGAACCATGTACCTGACGCAGCAATGTATTGCACCATTAACTAGCATAAGTGTATTTGAACGCACCCTAAATGCACTTACAACACGCTCCAAACCATGCACTTAGATCCTAAAGCCCTTTATGTCAACACTGTGAGTGACTGACCCCGCCTCTGACTCAGTGACAGCCGGGATTGGCTGCAGCCCCTCAACAATGTAATGTCACCAAACTGAAAAAGTTTTTTTGTTGTTGAAATTTTTGGAGGTGGCTTTCAAAGAATTCAATATTTCAAAGTTTACTAAATGGTAATATCTGATATCACAGTAATTGAGTCCATCAATGTAAACTATATGGGGGCCCCTATGATGACAGCTGCTTTGAGGTCTGTACTGTGCATTCTTTCATTGGCTTTAATTAGTTTGTTTTCCTAGTTTCGGGCAAAACCATTTGAAAGAAAAGACTAAAAGAGGAAGATGATTACACAGGCTTTATGTGACTTATGCTATCTGACTCTGTGAATGCTCTTAATGATCATTCATGCAGTTCCACTCAGATAACTCCACTTAAAAGGTATGGGTCATATCTGCTGTGCTGCCCTCATTCCCTTAAATGGCAAACTCAGATGATATGAGCAGTATATCTGAGCAAACATGCAGTTAAAGGAAAGTTATACAAACCACCACTGGGAACACAGAGAGAGAAACTCTTTGATGCTGTGGTACATTTACTTTCCTGGTGGCTCTGGGGACTTTCTGTCTACTGATAACCACTGGAAATGACACTCCCATTCATCTGTGTTCACTTTGTAGCTGCTGCATGTTAAACACTGTTGTGTTGTTGCGGAGGCAAAGTGGACTCTCTTATACTGCCGTGCTCAGGCATACTGTATAGTGGAGCAATAACATTTGTGTTGTATTGTTGGAGAATAGTGGTGTTTTACATCATAAACAATAAACTCATCTATATAAATCTTGGACAAAGATGATGCTCAAACTATAGTGACCCTGAGTATTTTGCACACTGTAAAAGAGGGCTCACATCTGCAAAAATCAATAAATATTATTGTTACTGAAGTTTTACTTTAGCAACTACTTCATACTTTGTACTTTATAAACCTAACTCCAGCAGTGCGTAAAGGAAAACCGGTTGTGCCTTTACCTTCTCTTGGTGCAGCAGGATCCCATGCAGACCACATCTGGACAAAGAAGAAGGGAGTCCAGCACAGGATGTAGGCCAGCACCACAACAAACGTCATTTTCACTGTACGAATCTTTGCTTTCGAAATGAGCCTCACGCTGCTCACGCGAGCGAGCGGGTGCGCGTTTTTGGAGGCCTTGGCTGCACTGAGGGTCAGGAAGTGATCCCTCCTGGTTTTTAAATTGAAGTTCTGCCATATTTTGAAACATATCAAACCATAGCAGACGCTCAAAATAGCCACTGGGAGGATGTAAATGCTGAGACTCATCCATGTGATGTACGCTTTGGCTCCCCACGGCTGCACGAAGTCCCCCCAGCAGTCATACACATCGTCCCCAAAGTCCTTCAGAGAAAAGATGTAAGCTTGAGGAGCGCTGAACACCAGGCTGAGGGTCCAAGAGGCGATCACGCAGAAGCGGTCCTTCCTCTTGTGCACGGAGCGAAGCGGCTGGCAGATAGCAATGCACCTGTCGATGGACATCAGGACCAACATGTAAGTGGACGCAAACATACCCACGACCTGGAGATATTTAACCACCCTGCACAGCAGATCCGGCCCGTAGAAGCGAAACGTGATGTCCCAAATGAGCTGCGGTAAGACCTGGAAGACCGCGACGACGAGGTCAGCGATGCTCAGGTGCTTCATGAAGTAATACATCCGCGACTGGCTGTGCTTGGTTGTGTGGATCGCCCACAGGACGCACAGGTTCCCGGTCAGAGCGAGCAGAAGCACCAGCGCCAGGACGGTAACTTCCACTTTGGCCACTTCTTCGTTCCGTTTCAAAGGATTCACTGTGGTGTTTCCTACGTGGCTTTCGTTTCCACGACTTGAGATGCTCCACGAACCATTATGCGCCCAACTGTGCTGCTCGCGTAAAAGCTCCTCCATCGTGCGTAAAAGCGCCACTTTGGCGCAGACAGCAGTCACATCACAAACCCAGGTTCAGAGCTGCTTTCCAGAGTATATGGTTGTGTCTGTCCTGTGCGATTTTGTGGCAAATCACACAGTTAAAGTTAATTTTGTGCCTTTTATTTTAAATTAGAGCAGAATCCAAAGGTTGGTGCTGTCTTCTGAATAGAGAAACACAATGTCACCACTTTCATTCGATTCATTGGAAACATATGAAGCCTTACATTATCGAAACGTCACATAGAAATTTAAGATCACATCAAGGTATTCTGTACAAAACAAGCCTACCTCCAGAGACTGCACTGTTACTTTGGGGTGTCGGAGCAGCACATCATTGCCTCCTGTCTGATGTGTGTTTTGCTGAAGCTCTGTCACTAACCCCCTCCCCTCTTCTGAGTAAATGTCCGTGATGTCTCCTTATTTCTCCCTGCTCCCTCCTTCTCCCTGTACATTGAAATGCCTCTCAACATTTGGACTATGCCTTATTATATTATGTCATCTTCAGACAAGCAAAAGTTTGTTCTTTGGAGTTTTTATTTTCAAACGAGAGCCGCCTAATATGGAAAATGTTGGAGCTGGAGCTGTCAATTTTTGGTTGAATACAATATGTCTAAAGCTGATGATGTGAAGGCCTACTGTACTTTATATTCAGCCTCAATCAGATACAGGTCAACATTTTAAAATGTGAGAGATACAATTTCAGATGAAAGGAGTAAAGAGAAGTTGGCTTGCATGAGTGACTGCGATATATGTGTCCAAACAAAACCAGATAAAACATCTATTCAAAATAACGAACCCCCTCAGGCCATACTCACATATCAAAAGTGTTCCCCAGAGGTCATGAAGGATTTCTTACAAATGAACTTGAATATAAACACAAATAATCTCCCTTTTCATCTCAGTCCAACAATAATATAAATTAATAATGTTCTTTTTATGTCAGCTTATGTGGGCTGTCATTATTTTATGTCTTATTTTCTCCTATAATTTGACAATTAGAACAGAAAAACAAACTTTTTCTTGCCTGGACATTTCACAAATACACACACGTTATGTGAAGTAATCGTGATGAAGGCCAGTGAATAAAAAAGCAGTGGATCATCTGTAACAAGGATCAACCTGGAATAGTTTCACTTCTTCTACAGCCACAAAGAGGCCGGTCTGTCTTACATCGAGCAGAATGATTTATTACCTTCAACCAAACCCTTTGTTCATTTGATGTAATTGACACATTCAGTTCAGCAGCTGCAGGTGCTGTATGGTCATTTGTTCAGCTGAATGGTGAGATACAATCTGACCAGACATGTTGGCAGACAAATAGGTTGCCATTTCCCCCCTTTTTTGATGAATGACATGTAATATATGTGACCTACTGTTTCCAAGGTTACTGGCTTGGAGTCAGGATGCTGCAGGAGGAAGGAGCTCCTGGATCTCAGATTCTTATAAGAGGAAAGTGTGAGTAATCGGGGATTTGTGAGGCAAAATGATCAAAACAAATCAAACACATCTCAAAGTGAAAATAAGCTGCTGCTGCAAGGGCTGGATCCAGGAATCTTTTTGAAAATAATCTCACGATTGAATAATATGTACACACACACACACACAGACACACACACAGACACCCATCTGTTCTGACATGTGGGGATCTCTCAGTTTCATTAATCAATAAGAAGGGTGAGAACTGTTGGACCTGTCATATGGAAGTTCTCCATGATGAAATCTGTGGTCAATATTTCCTTCGACACATCCTGAAGTTGAGTTGTAAGTAAGTATTATTCCATGACATTAAATAGAAAGGACTATTTGGAGTCCAGGGTCATTTGCCTATTTTTTTGCTAAATGTTACTTTCTGACAAGAACCCAAATACAAGAACATTGACATAGGCACCTGCAAAAATTACATATATACAAATACTCAGAATATTATTACAGAACAGTGGATAACAGAAAACACAATAAGAAATATTGTTCAAAAAAGATCTCACGTAATGACCTGCTCAGTAATTGTCTTTGTGATTCATTAGCAAATGGGAGCTAATGCACGTTATACCATTGGCAACATGATTACGAATAATAATGACCTGTCAGACATTATTTCCAATAGTCAATCAATCTGAAGTTACGTTGGAATAAAAAATCCCTTCTTGTTTTGTAGTGAAATCAATTAATGTCTAGATTTAACCAGCCCAAAAAAAAATTGTAATGACTTTATTTAGAAATTCTACCATATTATCTGGAAGACTTTAAAGAACAGTAACATAACAATGACACTGTCCTTAGAACTGAGTTAGTGAAAATATAGCTTTAAAGATATTTTTGAAATGTTCACTCATTATCTACTCACCACTATGGCGATGGAGGGGTGGGCGAAGTGTTTAAGTCGACAAAACACTTTTGGAGTTTCAGGGGTAAACAGCGTTGCAGCCAGAGTGACCTCTTCTTCAGACGTAATAAAACAACAGAAAAAAAACATAACATGCATCCAGACTGCTCGTGTGGTGTCATCCAAGTGTCCACAAGCCCCGACATTCATATTCGACCTGAAATGAGATCACTAAGCCTAAAAGACCATCGGTTAAAATGTGTCATTTTTAATTGATTTGAAATCTTTTGGTTTTACAATGGAGCTGTACACCAACCAGCCACAACCTCAGCAGTTTATATAACATACCAATCAGGTTTGTTAATGAATGTAATTCATCTTTGAAAGAACTTTCTTCAGCGTTCTATTAAAAAGGCAAAACAATACGTAACATCTTCAGTTCAATCTGATTCAGTTTTATTTGGGGATTTATTACATTTCAGGCTCTGTTGTAGTTTTTGCTTTTGGCTGCCTGAGGCCATGCCCCATGCACTGTAAAGCCCTTCTCCATATTGGTTGTGTAATAGAAAATTCCCACATTTCACAGCACTCTGTGCCTCTCTGCACCTCCAACGCATCCTGCATGATTCAGCCCATCTGGTATAATTTACTGGATGTGTGGTAGACTCTACTCAACTTTATACAGGATCATTTCCCCCTTTATGTACAGATATCAGTGTTTAATATAAAATGTAACCATGTCTCAGCATCTATCATAAGTCATATTATTCTGTCATAAAACTATTAAATTGTTCCAAATGAGCTTTTCTGCCCCCAAATAGTTTCAAATGCGGATGAACCATCTTCATTTTATAGAATTATATATTAATTTCAGCTCACATTTCCTGTTTCTCTCTGTGCTTCGTGTTTGTTATCTTCTCTAACTACTGTGTGATGATGTGATCCTATCTAAATGATTACAGTGGCCGTACAGTATTTCAACCTGGCTCTAAATGGATTACAGTTTATTCAGACTCTGAGCCTGACACACTCTCTGCTGGAACAGCATTCCCATAAGACCTATACGCTATCATCAAACATTTTAAATATTTCATTACACAGATTATTTTGGTCCTGTTTGCACCTTGGCAGGGAAAACAAACAGTGATATGCAAATTTGTGAAGGTAAAGTTGTGGCAACATTTTACTTTAGAACTGGACGAATTGGGCGTCGATCCAAACTGAAATTAACTTTTTATTAATTCCATGCAGGTATGTGGAAGTGTTTTACAAACTGTCCCCATTTAATATCTTTCCATCCTCTTTTGACAAGATACAACCTTGGAAGGAATTTTCTCAGTAGGAGTACAATTTTACGTCAAGTCAAATTGACCTGGAATAAACAAAGAGATGTAATTAGGAGCTGCACTTGTGGTCGAGCGTGGACGGCACAGGAAACTAATTACAGTATTTTGTAAAACTTTCCAAACATTTAAGCAAAAACCTTCAGGAAATCACAGCCCTTTTCTATTAAATGTTTCCAGGTGAAGGAATCATCGTACTTGTCACTGAAACCACAGAATTGCGCACAGACAACGCAGTCTTTTACAAAGGCACATCATTGAGAGGTGGTAGCGTGCACGCAAACCCTTGGACCCTTGGATGCAAGTCATTGATTTTCCATGAACTGAGCTGCAGATGTTACAGATGCTGTGAGTTGTAAGCTCTCCTCCGGGAATAAAGCCCGAGGCCACAGTGGTATACAATACATCGCTGTCTTTTTGGATTCTCTGTGGAGCTGGATTCCATCGAGCTTCTTTAAACTGTCTCCACATGCTGGGGGAGTAGCTGAAACTCATGGCTGTAAAACACAGTGATTATTATTTTCTCACTCACATGTAGCTGCACACTTTCAAGGATCGAATGAGAAAAGTTCTTTTTTTTTTTTGCTTTAAAGTCACAAAAGTGCAGACAGTTATCTTTAGTAAAACGTTGGTAGTTCAGGTTGGGTCTGAACAGGAACCGTGTTGTTTCTTCGGCTTCCACAAGATTCACTGATCCCATCTAAAACAAACTCTACAAAGGAAAATGATTCTGTGACTGATAACCTCCTCAAAACCACTGAGCTTCAGAGAGATGCTGAACAAGGCAGGGACTGTGTCTGGGGACTTGGTTTGGTTATGGCTGACCTCGGTTTTTGTGCCTCATGCAAGCTCATTATCAATGATGTCAATTATTAAGGACGATGAAGGATCCAGTTGTTGTTTCTATGTTGCCTTCATTTGACATTCATTACATTAAAACTCTATTATGGGAGATATTTATACACACTCCTAGATCGATGGTTTGTATCACACTGTAATTGTTATACCAGGATATTGAGTATTCTATTGTTTAATACAATTTAAAATGTACTGCACATAGAAGCTGTTATAAATCAGTGGCTATTCGTTTTTCCTCTTCTGTTGTGTTTTTGACAGTGGTCTTTCCAGACTCTTTACTGCCTCTAGTGGAAAGTAATTCATTTCATATATTAGTCAGCATCATAGAGTGTATATAAAGAGGGACAATACATATCTACATTCCCTACAACTACAACATTAAAAAACTGTCATCATTCTGTGTTTATTACTTTTAGTTGAAGGTTTTGTGGAAATCACACATAAACTTCCTAAAT